ACGCGGAGAGCGCGGCGACGGGACAGACGAGGTCCCTTTGAGGATGCAGCATAGTGTTCGCGGCCCGTGTGGTCGGAGCGGCGGAGGGCGGAGGGGGACGGAGCACGGCGGGCGGGCGGGGCACGCGGCGGAGAGGCTTGTGCGGAGGGGAGGATGAGGGCAGCGAGCGGGAGGCAGGGGAGTGGCGAGGGAGGGGGGGGCGGGCGAGCGTGCGGGCGGGCGGGAGGAGGACGGAGGGACGGAGCAGGCCGCTCGCGCCCTCGCCCCCGGCGCCTGCCTCGGCGCTCGCCCCTCAGAGCCTGGGGCACGCCCCCTGCCCCCCTGCGAAGTGTGGGCCTGGGCACAATACATCTCGCAGGGGATTTTTGCAAGTCGTAGCCCACGGCTCCTTCACATGGGCGGTTCGACGTGGGCCCCCGCATGCGGCTGTCCTGCTCTGTCCTGTCCTCCTCCTCCTCCTCCTCCTCCTCCGCCTCCTCCTCCTCCTCCTCCTCCTCCTCCTCCTCCTCCTCCTCCTCCTCCCTCCTCCTCCTCCTCCTCCTCCTCCTCCCCCTGGCCCCCTCCCCTCCTCCTCCTATCCTCGATCCTCCCCCCCCTCCCCGTCCCCCCCCCCTCCTCTCTCCTCCATCTCCTCCTTCCCCCTCCCCTCCCTCCGCGGCCCTCGGTCCCGATCCTCCCGCGGCGGCAGCGCCAGGCAGCCGGGAGGGGGGGCGGCGGGCGAGGGGGCGTGCGGCCCGACCGCGGAGGGTACGTGAAGTTGCTGTGCTCCGAGACGGGCAGGTTCGGGGCCGCCACCCCTCCCGCAGGGCCTGCCCCCTCCCCCCGTAGGAGGACGCGAGAATCTCGAGTCCCCTCCTCCTCCTCTCCTCCTCCTCCTCCTCCTCCTCCTCCTCCTCCTCCTCCTTCCTCCTATACCTCCTATACTCCTCCTCCTCCTCCTCCTCCTTCTCCTTCTCCTCCCCTCCTCCTCCCCCTCCTCCCCTCCTCCTCCTCCTCCTCCTCCTCCTCCTCCTCCTCCTCCTCCTCCTCCTCCTCCTCCTCCTCCTCCTCCTCCTCTCCCACCTCCTCCCCCTCCCCCTTCACAACTACACAATATGAAATACTCTCCCACTTCCCCTGATGGCGTCCCGAAGATGGCCGACCCCCCCCCGCGTACTGTTTTTTTACACAGGATTCCCGGGAAACGGGTTTTCGCCTGCGTTTTTTTTCAAAATGCTGCTCTCGCTGAGGCGCCGGCCTCATTTCTGCTCCCGAATCGTTCCGAATCGTGCTCCCGCTGCAGCGTGGGCCTCATTTTCGGATCGGTGTTTGGCCTCCGTCGTTCAGGATGGCGTTCTCGCCCCAGCGCGGGCCTCTTTCTCGCGCGCCCATCCGCCCGCCACCACCGCGCCGCACCACCACCACCACCACCACCACCACCACCACCACCACCACCACCACCACCATCACAACCACCACCACCAGCAGCAGCAGCAGCAGCAGCACCACCACCACCACAACCACGCACACACGCACGCACGCACGCACGCACGCACGCGCACCACCACCCACTACGCACGCGCGCGCGGAGCCACAGGTCCGCTACGACACGCGTCCGCGGATAGAGAAAATCAGCGCCATGGTAAGGGATGGGAGGGAGGGGTAGGACGTCAGATATGACGCGAGCGCACCTAGCTTGTCCCCCTCCCCCTCCTCCACCTCCTCCTCCTCCTCCTTCTCTTCTTCCTCTTCCTCCTCCTCCTTCTCCTCCTCCTCCTCCTCCTCCCGCTCCTCCTCCTCCTCCTCTTCGATGTTCCTCCTCGATCCTCCATCCTCCATCCTCGCTCCTCCCCCCACCAGGATGACGAGGAGGAGGATCGAGAATCGAGAAGTATGGAAGAGAAGGAGGAGGAGGTGAAGGACGAGGAGGAGGAGGAGGAGGAGGAGAACGAGGACGAGGAGGAGGAAAGGAGGAGGAAGAGGATTCGAGATGATCGACGCGACGGATGTCCGTGTCCTTCCAGAGTCGGGTCGGGCGGGACGGCGAAGTTGGGGAAGGTGCTCGACGTTCGAGGGTGTCGGTTTTTTTGCATCGGTTCTCGGTTTTTTTCAGCCTCGGGGTGCGTTCAATAGCTGCGCCTCGTCGAGAGCGTTCCGTGGGTGTATTGATCTTCCTAATGGGCCACGGGAGGCCTGGGCCTCGAGTTTGTCTTGGGTGTTTCTGAGGCCTCTCCAGCATGTTGGAGCCCATCTGGAGCCATACTTGGAGGCATGTTCGGGGGCTTCCTGGCGGCCACGGAGGGTAGATATTGGAGGCTCCAAGGGCGCCCCGCAGGTGCGTTGACGGGCTCGTGCCACCCGAGCCCCCGCCCCCGTGGCTCCCCTTCTGACAGGATTCTGGACCCCAGGTTCGGTTGCGTCTTCGGGGAACATCGCCTGTCCCCAAAACTGGTGTCTGTTCTTGTGCCCGGCGCGGGCTGTCTGCGAACTCGACGCGGATTCAACGTGAATTCAACGCGGATTCATTACGGATTCAACACGCAAGTCCCGCCGAGGCCGACATGGATTCGACACGGATTCGACGCGGAGAAGGCCGCGATGGGACAGACAATGTGCCTTTAAGGGACGGGGAAAGGGGGAGGGGGACAGCCAAATGTTTCACACGCCTCTGCATCCCTGGACAACGGGGTCGGCGCATTATGTTGGCTGCCCGTGCACATTCTTTCGCGACTGTGGTGTCACATCGCCGTCGGAGGGAAGATCTGCGCCGCGTGCGGTGCTGTTATTGCACGTCCCGTTTGTCACCCGCACCGTCGTTTTCTTGCCGGCCCGCCTCAGCCCGCCCTTCACCCGTGATGCTTACGGCTTCGGCCCACGCGCTTTCGCCACGCGTGTGGGTGTAATTGGCACAGCGTACCTCGCCGCAGTTCGCAGTTCAGCGCCACCGTGCGCACGTCGCAGAAGGAGCAGGCGGGTGCGCGTGCGTGCGCGCTGCATTCGGCAGCCGCGTGCGAGCCCTGCCCCACCACCCTGCAATTTCTGGGGGGGGAGGTGGGGTGCACTGCGCTCGGGAGGTCCCGAGAAATCGCGGCGTGGTGGGGTACTCCAGATTTCGTAATAAAAGGGAGGGGGTCCGGACCCTCCAAGACAAGCCATTTCAGACCCCCCCCGTGGGAGAACCCTCCAAAACATCGTCCCCAGACCCCCCCAGGCCCTCCAAGATAGCCTGGAAGAGAGCCCCCCCGAAATGAGACCCCCCTCCCTTTTATTACGAAATCTGGGGTAGGGTTCGCCTGCGGCTTCCTACGCGTGGCCTTCGGGCCTCGCCCGCGCCACGCACCAGGCGGGCTCCTGGGTTGCTGCGCGCCGACGCGCCGCTTCTCGGCGTCCCGCCTGCGATGCATCGTGGCAGTTCGACGTGCTCGACCGCGACCCGCTCTTGCTCAGAGCGTGAAATACCTACCCCGCTTTCGCTTCCAGGCAAAACCAAGTCATACCACGCGCCTCCTCGTCAAGCGGCCTGACCAGTACAGGCTGCAATTTGGCATCGTTTGGTATCTCTTGGAAGCGAGGGTGGTCAAAAGCGAGGTAGGTTTGTTTTCCCCCTACTTGCACTCGCGGCTCGTCACCTCAGCGACGAAGCACTCGTTTTTCCAACCGCGCGGGCAGTTGTGCGCACGTTCCCCTCGCAAAGGTCGTGCGTGAGCGCCCCGCTCCCCATGTGGCGTGCCGCGCCGGTGGCCCGCGCAAGCCGCGGGCGCCAGTGTCGCTACCGAGGGGTCAAAGAGGCCTCAGAGACGGCCCGACGCCCAGGACGGCCTCGAGACGGCCCAAGAAGCCTTCGATCGAGACGCCCCAGGAGAGCCCCGAGAGCCTTCCTGAGAGGGCCCCATCGAGGCCCAGATCGTGGATTCTCCTTTGCTTTTTTGTTCCCATGCTTCTCGGGCTCTCCACTCTTCGAGCTCCCGACGCTCCGAGACGCCCCAAGGGGGCCCCAGGAGGGCCCCAAGATGGCCCCGAGGCGGCCCCCAAGCGGGGGAGCGCGCGCACCCCAAACTCCGAGAGCCCTCCGCCTCCAGGGTGCCAGTGTCCCTGCCTGCCTCCAGGGTGCCCTGGGTTTCTTGGGCTTCGATGGTTTTGCGTGCCGTTCCCACACCAAGAAAAGGTCCGTGGACGTTCTGGGTTCTCCGGGTTGGGCTTCTTTTGGAGGGTTTCTTGTGCACTGGCCTCCACTGTATGTCCTGTTGCCTAAGGCTCGCTTCTTTTCGTCGTTCACCCTGCCAGAGGGCGCACACAACGCGCCGCGTGTCCGCAGCCCTGGCGCATGCGGCCGCCAGGGCGGCCGCCGGCGCGGCCGCCGGCATGGCACTGCCGGCGCCCAGCGCCGCGGCGGAGGCGTCGCTCAGCGCGTCCCGCGCTCTGACGCGGGAGTCGCCCGTCGAGGAAGAGAAAAGCGGCAGGAGCACAGATTTTGGAGAGGTCCGCGCGGGGCTTCTCGGATCTGCGCTGGGGCCCCCCCTGACGGCGTCTCCGGCGCCGCGCCCTGGCGCGCTCCGCGCGCCGGGGGGGGGGGGATTCAGCGCAGATTCCATACGCCCGCGCAGGCCTCCTGGGCATCGCTCGGACGTGTGCGTTTCCTTCGGCGAGGCCAGCGCCAGGAAGCCTGAGACATCTTGCACGCACGACACCAAGCACGCACGACACCAAGCACTCCACGGGGAATGCACGTCCGAGCGATGGGAAGCCTGAAAGTTTATGCCGATGCTGCTTTTTCTTCTGGCCCGGCTACGCGAGCGGCCAGGACGCGCTGCTCCAGAGGCTGGAGCTGTGCCGCCAACAGGCGGAGGAGGCCTACGAGGACCAGGAGTAACAAATAGGCACAGACGCAGAGAAACCGCAGATGTCCGGGAAGTCTGGGCAAAGACTGGAAATGGAGGGGAAGACGACCATCCAGAAAAGACGTGCAACTCTGTGTCCATGTATGCGTGTCCCCCTGGGCTTCTCTCCTCTCTCTAGAGGAGGAGGAGTGGCAGCGGGAGGAGGAGGAGGCGCAGCGCAAGCGGCATCGCGTCGGCAGTGCCTCCGCGCCGAGCGCCGCGGCGGCCGCGGAGGGGGCCGCCGACGATAATAGCCAGGAGCGGTCCCTGAGGGCCGAGCTCGCGAAGGTCCTGGAGGAGAAGAGGCTGGCATGGGCAGCGTTGGGGAGTGGATGGTGGGCTGAAGGGGCAGGGCGATCGACATGGGCACGCAGAGAATGGGTGCGATGCCCAACTCGAAAAAGAAACAAGCACATAAACATAAGCTTTTGGCGCTTCGCGCAGCTTTCTTGACAAGTTAATGTTTATGTTGTTTTTCTTCTTACACCAACAGCAGTTCCTGTTCATTCTGGGCAGGAATCACCGTTCGCGCCGCCGCGGAGGTTGTTCTTTGAAGACAGCCGCCTGCACAACAGCGGCCGCTGTCAGTTTTGGACAAATGTTGTTTTTGGGCGTTTTACCTTTTCTTCCGTATGTGGTTTGGGTGTCCACGTAGGGGGGGGATGCATCTCTCTCCCGGCCGCCCATCCGTCACCGATACGTCGGCGGCGAGCGAGGGGGTGAGAATCGAGAGGGAGAGGGCATGCTCAGGAGGCGGCGGGACTTCTCAGGAGCCTTCGAGCCTTCTGAGAGGTGTTCTGCGTCTTCGGGGAAGGCTCCGGAAACTCCTCAGAAGGCATGGGGACTTCCTAGCCTTGTGAGAATGCCTCCTCGTACTCACTACCCCCCCGGGGCTCGCCGCCGAGATAGGGTCGTGGAAACGTAAGACTCAAGTACGCCGGGACTCGGGTTTGCCGTCGTTTTTTGACGAGCACGTCCTGGATTGTGACGGTCCAGTTTTCGCGGGACGTTTGCAGCGGGAGCTCGCGTCAAATTTCAGATTGGTCGAGATCTTTCGACCCATCTATTCTGACCCCATCTAGAAGGCCTATACGTTGAAAGTCGGTATTTCTAGATTCCCATATTCCGATGTACTTCAGGCGCCTTCCTTCGAGCAGGGACCGACCGTCACGGCAATCCCATAGGCGTTCCCATAATCAAGTTGTTCCAACAACAAAGCCAGATCTTCTTAGAACGCTGTCCCGATGTGTTGCAGCACGACAGTTTCAGCCATACGTGATCTGAGAACACGGCGTGCAGAGCAGTCTCTGGCGGGCCTAAGTCGGCAAACCGTAACGCTCCGCCACTGCTCGACTATTGCAATCGTCGAGTGGTTGTCCCTCTTCCTTCCTCTTCGGGGGACTGGTGGAGACCCAACCGGTCCGCCTGCAGCACCTTCCTGTTTCACGTTTCCTGCCCCATTCTTTCAAGGCGTGCCTGTCCCCCTACAGGGGGAAGGTTCAAAAGTAGTCGGCCGTAGTCTGGGGACTATTGCTTGATTATCTTATTGGCTGTATTGACTCCTGTTTAAAGTTTTTCGCACAACAAATAGTCGTCCAACATCCGCCTGCAGGAGGGCACGCCCGACCCAACACTCCTTCCGACCGGTGGGCACGGTCCCCCCGCAGGCTGGCCAGCGAGGCGGAAGACTTCGACGCGGCGCACGCGGCCAAGGAGCGCGAGAGTCGGCTTCTTGCCCGGCTCGGCGAGCTGGGCGCGCCTGGCGGAGGTTCTGGACGCCCGACATGGGCACGGAAAGAGTGGCTGCAATGCCCGACAGCAGCTCCTGTCCATTTTGAACAGGGCTCGCTGTCCACGCCGCCGCGGCCTGTGTTCATTTGACACAGAAGGCCGCCTGCCCAACAGCGGCCGCTGCTGGTTCGGGACAACACTTGCTGTTGGGCATTGTTCGGCTACACGTAAGAGTGACCCTTCGCCGGAGTGACCCTTGGTTCGCGCTCACTGGGCTCCCTCGATCGCCGTGCGCGGTGCGATAGTAGCGTCTTGCGCGCTTGTGTTCGGCCTCCTCGCGCCCCCCACAAGGCCGCGCACCAAAGGTCACTCTTGCCCAGGATCACTCTTACGTGCAGCCGAATCGTGCCCCTTCTTCTGTACCCATGTCGGGCGTCCAAATTGAGGTGCGCCAGAGCCCGCCGCGGGGTCCCCCGACCCGCAGGCCGAGGTGCGGGCGGCGGAGGCCGAGCTGGAGGCGGCGAGGGCGGACAAGAGGGCCGCGATCCAGCGGGAGGACCCGGGGCACCTTACGGGACGTGGAAACGACCCTCCTCCTCCTCCTCCTCCTCCTCCTCCTTCTCCAGCGCGCTCGCCCTCCGCGTGCTCAGCTTCTTCGCCCTCGGCCCGGGGGACCGGGTGGCCCTCCCGCCCGGCTCCAGGCCGCTCAAGAGATGGGTCACGGGGCGTGAAAACGACCACAGCCACTGCTTTTCTTTTGTTGCCGCCTCCAAGGGCTCCCTCGAGGGCGCGAAGTTATTCGCGCTTCGCGCTTCGCGGTCCTCGTTCCTTCTCCCCCTCCTCCTCGTCCTCCTATTCTCCTTTTGGGAGGGCGGCGCGAGAGCGCGAAGTTATTCGCGCTTCGCGCTTCGCGCAGCGCGAAGCGCGAAGTTGGGAGCCCTAGCTTCCAGCCAGCAGAAACAAGGCAGTGGTTGTGGTCCTTCTCGTTAAGCTTGGCACCAGGGAAATGACCACAACCACTGCTTCTTGTTCGGCCGGCTGGAAGGCGGCGCAAACAAGAAGCAGTGGCTGTGGTCATTTTCCCGTCCCATACCTGGCATCACTCGGACGTGTTCTCGGCTTTCAGGGGTTCTGCTGGTGGCGGAAGTGGCAATGCTAGGGGAATGAAAAGTGATATAAACATAAGAACTCGGAGGTCCGCGCGGATTTCTCGGATCGGCGCTGGGGCCCCCTGGCGGCGCCTCCGGCGCCACCCCTGGCGCGGGGTCCAGCGCCGATCCGAGAAATCCGCGCGGACCTCCGAGTTTTTATGTTCAATGTCACTGTTTGTTTCCCTATTTAAGGGGTTCTGCTGGTGGCGGAAGTGGTACTGCGTCGTGGCGCCCCTCGGGAGGCCGAAAAAAAGGACGTAGCGCCACCCAGCGGGATTCCCCGGATAACCAGAATCAAGTTGCAGTTTGAGCACGGGTCATTGTTTTGGCCTGTGCTTCTTGTGGAGCTGGCGTGTGCGTTGCATGTCCGGAAGAGAAAGACCCCAAACCGACAGCTGCACGGAGAGCGGACGTCCGAGTGATGGCAAGGGTACTCCAGATTCCGTAACAGAAGGGAGGGGGTCTGGTCCCTCCAAGACAAGCCATTTCAGACCTCCCCCGTGGGAGAACCCTCCAAAACATCGTCCCCAGACCCCCCAGGCCCTCCAAGATAGCCTGGAAGAGACCCCCCCCCGAAATGAGACCCCCCTCCCTTTATTACGAAATCTGGAGTAGGCAAAGCACGGCCCGGCCCCCCGAATCGAGGGAACACATACGCACACCCATATTTTAGTGTTTCGCTCCGCTGCTCGTATTTCTTGGGATCGGCACTGTGCCCCCCCAGGTGGCGCCTCTGGCGGCGCCCGGGGTCCAGCGCCGATCCAAGTTGTTGTTGCATGCCGGGCGTTTGCTGCACAGCCCTGGGCCTGTTCTGAAACAGGCTTGCCCCGTTCGACCCCATTCCTGAGGTGCGCTTGCTCGAGAGCTTCGCTCCTTGCGGTGCTCAATCCACAGGCGAAGGGGGGGAACGCGTTCCCAATCGCCCGTACATGCCCGATAGGGGTCCGATGGCACGTGTGGATTCGATGCAGGGGGCCTTTCGGCGATGTATCGCCGATTCGGGCTCGAGTTTTCCCTCTCTGAGGTGGTTCCCCCCCAACGTTCCCTGAGGTTCCCACTTGCATTCTGCATCGGCACTGGTATTCCCCCGGTCGTAAACTGGCCTAATTTGGTTGAATCTTGTTCAATCCGGCGCAATCCCGTTTAATCTAGCCTAATTCCGTTGAGCCCTGCTCAATCCTAGGCTTTCAGTCCAGCTGAATCCAGCTCACAGGCCCCTTAATCGGGCTCAAAAGCTTGCAATCATCCCAAATCGTTCTGACGAAGACCTCCCAGGAGTTGCCTCCTACGTCGCATCTTCGGGGGACCTTGCCTGTCCCCAAAATTTGTGTCTTCTCTTGTGCGCGACGCGGGCTCGATGCGGACTCGACGCGGATTTGGCGTGGATTCGACTCGGACTTGACACGGGTTCGACATGGATCCGACGAGTCCGACATGGATTCGACACGCAGTCGATTCGTATAGGGACGCGACCCGACAGACAAGATCCCCCGAGAATGCAACCTGAGCCTCTCAGTCCAAGGACTACGACGCGGCCGACGACGCGAAGAGGAGGGAGGGCGAGCTGCTGGCGAGGCTGGACGGGCTCCGGGCCAGCCCGGGCGGGGGCACGGCGGCGGCTCCCGCCAGGAGGGCGGCGCTGGAGGAGGAGCGGGTCGGGCGGCCTCGGGGAGGGGGGGTAACGGTCGAAGGAGAACAGGGTACCCATGCCGCTACCCTTCGCCCCGCTTTCCCCTGTTTGTCAAGAGGAAAAGAAACACACAGACACAACTAATCCTCGATTCCTAGAAAATATGGGAAAATATGGGAAGTGGGGGGGAAGACAAAAACCCAGAAAATATGAGAAAATATGGGGGATATGTTTATTTGTGTGTATTTATTTGTGTGTCCCAGTTCCCCTTCAGTTTGGGTCTCCTGTGAGGCCCTCGTCGCGACCGCTGGATGGGCCTCGAAGTCCTGGTCAGCACGCACCCTGGGAGAGGTCCGGGGGGTAGCGGTGTCGGCACCTGCTCGTCTCCGCAGTCTTTGGACGCCCGAGAGGGGCACGGAAAGAATGGATACGATGCCCAACAGCAGTTCCTGTTCATTCTGAACAGGATTCGCTGTCCACGCCGCCGCGGCATGTGTCCATTCGAGACAGGAGGCCGCCTGCCCAAAAGCGGCCGCTGTTGGTTTGGGACAACATTTGTTGTTGGGCATTGTACCCATTCTTTCGGTACCCATTTCGGGTGTCCAAACAGTCGGTAGCAAACCATGGGAGCCTTGTTGTATACTCTCGCACTTCCGTCTTTCGGTTTGCGCTAGCGTCGACTCACGCCTGGCAATCGATGAGATAGCACCGATGTGCGTCGACTGTAGCGTCGATTGGCGCCGATTCGCTAAAGCCAGCAAGCTGGTATGGAAGGCTCCCATGAGTTGCCACAGGGGGTGATGGGCTTGTGTTCCACCACAACCACCACCATAAGTTGGAGGGGGGAAGAAGGGGAGGACGAAGAGGAGGAGGAGGAGGAGGAGGAGGAGGAGGAGGACCCCCTCATCCTCCAACTTCTGGCGGTGGTGGTGGTGGAAAGCAAGCCCAGCATGGGGGGGGTCGGGAGAGGCGGGGATGCGAAGCCTGTGGCGTGCAGCCGGTCTCGGCCCCGCCGCCGGGCGTCCCCCTTTGACGCACGGGCGACGCAGAAGAACGAGATCGTCTTCATCGACACTGGCGCGTACGCCTCGGCGTAAGGTTGCTGCCGTCATCTCGCGCAGTGCCCGTTGCCTTTACTCGCCCACAGTCAAGCAGTGGCGAAGCGTCCCGGCTCGCCTACAGGCCCACCAAAGAATATTCTAAGAACCTCCTGTGGTCTGCACGAATCGGTCTTAGAGCATTTCTGGCTGGGACTGACTTGTTTGAACACATCGGGTTTATGTCCTCATAACGTTCTGGTTCTTAGAACATTTTGGGGTTCTAAGAACATTTCGTGGTAGGCCTACAGAAATGCTGGGACGGTCGGCCCCTGCTCAACACAAGGGGGGCATGCCGCACAACAGCCCACAACGAGTTGATTCGCTGGCCCGCCCTGAGCTACCCCCCCTGCGTTGAGAACAAAAGGATCCTTATCCTAAATAACACGATGAAGACGTGGTTCCCGCCCTCACATTAGGGATAATACATTACACCAGAGAAAAAACCCAATCATTGGATGGTTTGATCGATAACGAGATCGACTGAGAACCAAGGAACCCGGAACCCACCGAAATCGACCCGGAACCAATTTCCAGGAACCCGGGAACCTGGAACCCGGGAACCCAGCTGGCCACCAAAATCGGCGGGACACTTTCGCCAAATCTTGCCATTTCCGCTAGGACCCCTTCAGTGCAAGCACTGACTGGGGAATCTGGGCGGTTCGGCTTGGTACATCTGCAGACAAGACTCCTTATCCCTGATGTTTGTGGCCCTCGTAACTTCGTCGGTGTGCCTCCACCGAGGGAAGACGATCCCGATCTCGGCGATGGTGGTAATATTCTGGCTTCCAAGGTGACCAAAATATTGCCAGCATCACCGAAATCTAGGATCACCTTCCCCCTGTGGAGGCAAACCCCTGTTTTGGTGTTGGTGCCCATTTCCAGGCCTCCAATGATTGGGGAATCTGGGCGGTTCGTCCCTCTCGGGGCAGGGCGGAGAACTCCATCGAGGTCCCCGCCCGCCCCCCAGGGTGCCCCGCAGGGTGCCGGTTGCAGACCACACCTTTCGGAGTCGCTGACTGGAGCCCTGTTGATCGTAACTGGAGACCTTTCCTGGTTGATTACCCCTTTCTGGTTGATCGTAACTGGAGCCCTTTCAGTGTCCCTGGGAGCCCTTTGCTGGTTGATCACCCCTTCTCCGGCCGGCCCGTCAGGAGCTCGCGCGGGTGCGCGCCTCGAAGCGCGAGGCGGCGGAGTCCGAGGACCGGGGGCAGCCTTTCCCGAGGCCCGCACGCGCAGGCGGTGGCAAGGCTCAAGTCGGGCGTGTCCCCCTGCAGCCCACGATCGCAGGCCCAGAGGTTGACACCGACACCAAGATCGGCGGGGTGCCTCCTCCGAGGGAAGTCGATGCCAATCTCGGCGATTGTGGTAATATCCCGGCTTCCAAGGTGACCGAGAAATTACCACCACCGAAATCTAGGATCATCTTCCCCATGTGGAGGCAACCCCCTTTTCCGAGGACAGCACGCGCAGGCGGTGGCAAGGCTTAAGGCTTAAGTCGGGCGTGTCCCCCTACAGGGGGATTTTCGACGAGAAATACAAACTATCAAAAAAATAGTAAAAAGATAGTCCAAAAATGATCTGGGGGCTATTAGTTGAGTATTTTTCTTATGTTTCGTCGAAAATCCCCCTGTAGGGGGACGCCCGACATAAGGCAAGGCGCCCTGGCCTGCCTGCAGCCCCGCCGACTGGTGCTCCACGAGCCTCCTGCGACGCGTGCGGTTCACACGACGTATGTTCAGAACAGTTCTGGCTGAGGCCGTCTTGTCTGTGGTACCGTCGGCGTTTCCGTTCTGAGAGTCTGGCGCTTGGCCTTAGAACACCCGGTCATTCTAAGAACACTTCGTAGTAGGACTACAGGAATGACGGGACGGTCGGTCCCTGCTCTAGGCGGCGAGCGATGGAGGAAGTGGGAAAGGGCGGGCCTTTTCAGAAGGCTCGGAAGTCCCCCGGCATTCTGAAGGCCAGAGGGCGTCTGAGAAGTCCCGCCGCCTTCTGAGCAGGCTTTCTCCTTCTCGATTCTCCCGCTCTCTCGCCGCCAAGGAATGACGGGACGGCCGGTCCCTGCTCAACACTCGCTCAGCCACGTTCCTCTGGCAGAGCTTCCTTTGGCGGGTGCGGCCCCCGAAACGCGTCCCGCTCCCCACGGACCAGGCATTCTTCGGGGCCCGCACCGGCTCGGCCAAAGTTTCCAATCGGGGGCGGAAAAGAGAGGGTGATGACTAGGGGGGGTGGATTTCATGGCGCGGGCCATGATATCTCCCCAGATTTCCTGGCGCCCCCTCTTATTTCATTACGTTCCCGGCCCCCCCGCTGGGCCGCGCACATGCCGCCGGTCATGATTTGCACCCCCCCTCTTGGACACCCCCCTCTTGGCCGCTCCCGATCCAAGAGTGCTTGTGGAGCGCGCAGGGGGGGGGGGGGAAGCAGAGGGTCCCCTTGGGGCCCACTTCGATCCGATGGATCCGATTCGTTAGCGTGGGGGCCAGTGCCAAGAAGCACCCTGCTTGCCTCCAGAGTGCCCTGGTCGGGAGCGGAAAAGAGGGTGGTGATGACTAGGGGGGGGGGGATTTCATGGCGCGGGCCATGCTTTTTCCTCGGATTTCATAGCGCCTCTTCTTATTTCATTACGTCCCAGGCCCCCCCGCTGGGCCGCGCACATGCCGCCGGTCATGATTTGCACCCCCCCTCTTGGACACCCCCCTCTTGGCCGCTCCCGACCTGGGTGTCTTGGGTTTCGATGGTTTTGCTGTGGAAAGCGCGACGGTCCCACACCAAAAAACGATGGACGTCCTGGGGTCTCAGGGTTGGGTTCCTTGTGAACGAATTCTTGTGGACTGGCCTCCACTGTATGTCGATGTCTGGCAGCTCGATCCACTCCGATCTCGACATTCCAACATTCGCACGGCGCTGTTGCGCAGCCTGGCGCGGGCGGTTCGATCCGATCTCGGCTCCGTGCCGATGCAAGCAGGACCCGACGCACATCCCGGTTCGATGCGATTGCCCGATTCGATGCCCATTGATCTTGCGGAGGAGGGTGGAGGACGAGTCGGGCGACGAGATCAATCCACACGCACCGCCGCTGGCCAGGCCCATCCTGGTCCCAGGACCAATGTATATGCCTTCCTGGCGTGCACACCACTTCTGGGCACAGGTTGGGCCTGTCCAGAGGCGGTGGAGTTGTATAGACCTCGAGGCCCTGACGAGGAGGAGGGGGGCTGCGGGAAGCGAGGGGGACTAAGAAGAAGAGGAGCAGGAGGAGGAGGAGAAAATAAGGAGGTGGAGGAGGAGGAGGAGGAGGAGGAGGAGGAGGAGGAGGAGGAGGAGGAGGAGGAGGGGAGGAGGAGGAGGAGGAGGAGGAGGAGGAGGAGGAGGAGGAGGAGGAGGAGGAGGAGGAGGAGGAGGAGGAGGAGGGGAGGGGGGGGGGGGAGCGAGGAGGAGGAGGAGGAGGAGGAGGCGGAGGAGGAAGCAGAGGCGGAGGAGGAGGGAGGAGGAGGGGAGGGGGAGGAGGGAGGGAGGAGGAGGAGGAGGAGGAGGAGGGAGGAGGAGGAGGAGGAGGAGGAGGAGGAGGAGGGAGGGGGGGGGGGGGAGGGGAGGGGGAGGGGAGGGGGAGGAGGAGGAAGAGGAGGAGGAGGAGGAGGAGGAGGAGGAGGAAGACCAAGAGGAAGGAGAAGAAGACGAAGACGACGAAGAAGAAGAGGGAGAAGAATAATCATAATAATGAAACGAAAGTAATAATAATACTAATAATAATACTAATAATAATAATATTCACAATAATAATAATACTAATACTAGTAATAATAATAATAACAATAACAATAACAATACTAATACTAATACTAATAATAATACTAATACTAATAATACTAATAATAATAATGATGTTAATAATAATATTACTAATACTAAGAATAATAATAAGAATAAGAAGAATAACCAGAAGAAGAAGAGGAGGAGGAGGATGAGGAGGGTGACTGTGTGCTCGTCGTGCCCCTGTCCTCGCTTCGCCCTGCGGGCGGGAATCTTCTTCGTGTCCGCAGCCTCGCGGGCCCTGCCCCTGGGCCGCGACCCCGCGGATACGGCGCGTTTTTGTTTCGCGGGCGCCTGGCGCGGAATGTTCCCGCGCGGACGCGCATCCGCGGGATCGCGCCCTGGAATCCAGACAGCGAGGGCGCGGACACGGATGCGCCCGCCGCCCTCACGGGGAGGAGGGGTTGGGCGATGGGGGGCGAGGAGGAGCAGGGGGACGAGGAGCAGGGGGACGAGGAGGAGGAGGAGGAGGAAGAGGAGGAGGAGAGTGAAGTTGTGCTCGTCGTGCCCGTCGTTGTGCCCCCCTACGTGAGAGGACTTCGACGCCGCGCAGGCCCTGAAGGCGCGCGAGGACGCCCTGCTCCGGGAGCTGCAGTCGCTGCAGGCCGGGCCGCCCGCGGCGGAAGCGGGCGCGCAGAGGCGGCGCCTGGAGGCCCAGCTGGCGGGGCTGCGCGAGAGGAGCTCGACGAACGACGAGGCCGACGACGACGACGAGGCCGACGACGACGACGACGACGACGATAGGCAAGTGCAAACATGGACACGAAACTCCGCGCCGCGGATTCTTGCTGCTGTCTGTCACTCAATCGCTTCGCTCATTCCGCCGGCCCATCGTGCATCACTGGTGCTATATTATTATAGGTTGGTGTGCACCTGGCGGACGAGGAGGAAGAGGAGGACCAGGAGGAGGAGAAGATGAGGACGTGGCCGTTCGATGGGGGAAGGAGGGGAGGAGGAGGAGGAGGAGGAGGAGGGAGGAGGAGGAGGAGGAGGAGGAGGAGGAGGAGGAGGGGGAGGGAGGAGGAGGAGGAGGGAGGAGGGAGGAGGGAGGAGAGGAGGAGGGAGGGGGAGGAGAGGAGGAGGGAGGAGGGAGAGGAGGAGGAGGAGGGAGGAGGAGGAGGAGGAGGAGGAGGGAGGCGGAGGAGGAGGAGGAGGAGGAGGAGGAGGAGGAGGAGAGGAGGAGCTCGAAGGACAAGCAGAGTGCATGATTCTCCGCGAGGCGTGCAGGCGTTGCCGCATCGGCCGCGCCGCGTGGTGTTTTTCGGGTGGGGCTTCGGGGTCACCGGACAGGTTGGGACTCGGGTCGTCCTCCGAGGAGCTCTCGGTGGAGGGTGTCTCCGAAAGGCTCCGGCGACCCGTCCTCCGCCTCCTCCTCCTCCTCCTCCGCCTCCTCCTCCTCCGACTCCTCCCCCTCCCTCCCTCCTCTGCCTCTCCTCCTCCTCCTTCTCCTCCTCCTTCTCCCTCCTCCTCTCCTCCTCCATCCTCCTCCTCCTCCTCCTCCTCTCCTCCTCCCCCTCCTCCTCCTCCTCCTCCTCCTCCTCCTCCTCCTCCTCCTCCTCCTCCTCGGGTCACCTATGGCCCCGGGGGAAACCGTGCACCTCTTGGGCGATCGAGGCTTCCGAGGTCCCTAGACCGAGGGGTGACGGACTGCGCGGTGAGGTCGTTGGGGATTCCGAGGTCACCATGCGGTCCGTCACCACACCGCCTTGGGGGCCCGAACAAAAATGCCGTCGCCATAGATTGCGAAGTTAATCATGAGAGTTGGGCCCCACTGCAACGACGCCATAGCAACCGACGGTGGAAAAGACACTGCAGATCGCAGGTTCGAAGTCCATCGCACTGCATGGGGGAACACATGCGTCCCGTTTACGCACTGGCGTAACAACGCGGATGTGTGAAGGCATGGAAAGCGAGTTTCGAGCGATAATTTCCGAGAACGCGAGGCGGGATCCCCAGGGACCGCTGGCTCTCTTTGGGGCCTGGTGGCCGCGGCATCCAGTCTTAAGTCGGGCCTGTCCCTCTACAGGAGGAACATTCAAAAATAGTCACAACATATTATGGGGACGACTTCTCTATTCTTCTAAAACTCTGTGTATGTGTGCATCGGTTGACTCTTTGTGACTCTCGTCCAAAATCCGCCTGTAGGAGGACATGCCCGACCCAAATCTAGTCGTCGTTCGTCGAAGGCATGGGGCGGGAGCCACCCAGGGGGTGCCGGCACCCTCCTCTGGCGCCCGGTGGCCGCTGTGGTCGGTGGGCAGGGTCGGCGAGGAGAGCCGAGGTCGCAGCAGGACGCGCAAGCGGCATGGAAGCTCCGCGCGGCGGTTCTGGGTCGGCCACGCGCAGGGGGGGGGGGGCAGGGGGAGGGGAGGAAGGCTTCTCAGAAGGGCCCCTGCTCCTTTTATCGGGGGCGGCAAAGAGGGGGTGATGACTAGGGGGGGGGGGATATCATGGCGGGGGCCATGATATTTGCTCAGATCTCATGGCGCCCCTTCTTATTGGAGAGGCCTGACGGCCGGTGCCGCCGACCCTGATCGAAAGGGCTAGGAGTGGGGGGAGGAAGCGGAGGATGAGGAGGAGGAGGAGGAGGAGGAGGAGGAGGAGGAGGAGAGGAGGAGGAGGAGAGGAGAGGAGGAGGAGGAGGAGGAGGAGGAGGAGGAAGGAGGAGGAGGAGGAGGAGGAGGAGGGAGGAGGAGGAGGAGGAGGAGGAAGCGCATCCTTTGCGTGCCCGCTCGGAGAAAGTGCGCCCCGGGAGTGTGATATTCTGACTTGGGACGTGCTCCCGGAAGAGGAAGAAGTGCATCTCGGGCGTGCCCGCTCGAGGAAAATGCGCCCTAGGGGGGTGGTGTTTTGACTCGGGGCCCGCTCCCGGGACGCCTCTGCGAGGAGGAGGAGGAGGAGGAGGAGGAGGAGGAGGAGAAGGAGGAGAGGAGCAGGAGGAGGAGGAGGAGGAAAAGGAGGAGGAGGAGGACCAGGAGGAGGAGGAGGAGGAGGAGGAGGAGGAGGAGGAGGAAGTGCATCCGTGCGTGCCCGCTGGAGGAAAGTGCGCCCAGGCGGGCGTCGTATGTGCCCCGGGCCCCCCCCCCTCCCCCCCCCCCCTGCGGGGAAGGGATCAAAGGGAAGGGGCTTCCCTTCGACTCCACTACGACGTCGTTTAATTTCGCTTTGGATAGCGCGCTTGAGGAGGAGCGCCCTGGGAAGGGGGAGAATGGAGACGACGGAGACGACGAGTCGAACGGAAAAGCCCCTCACACACGCCGACAGGGTCGGCGGATTTCATTACGTCCCTGGCCCCCCCGCTGGGCCGCGCACGTGCCGCCGGCCATGATTTGCACCCCTCCCTCTTGGACGCCCCCCTTTTGGCCGCTCCCGATTTTGGGCGATCGCAAGCATGGATCAAGGGGGCGTGGAGTCGCGACGGGACCATGGGACATCGCGGAGTTCCGCCGCCGAGCGAGGCGGCACCAGCCTCATTTCGGGGGAGGGCACCTCCCCCGATCCATGGATTTGGTGCGGGCCTTCTCTGTACATGTGAGGCCCGCGGCTTCTGAGATGCAGCCCCCCTCTCAGAAGCCTTCCCCCCTCCCCCATGCCCCCCTGTGCGCGCCGCCAAAGAACGCAAACGGCATCGGAGCTCCGCGCGGCTGTCTTGGGTCGGCGCTGGGATCCCTCTGGTAGCGGCGACTCTGGCGCCGCCCCTGGTGCGCTCCGCGCGTCAGGAGGGGAGTGCAGCGCCGATCCAAGAGATTCGCGCGGGCCTCCGACGGTTTTGTTCATGCCGCCTGCTGCCCATCCTGACGAGGAGGAGTCAGCACACACATGGCAGTCAGCGTCACCACCCATTATTCTAGACGCTTCGTTTGGGGGGGAGGGTAGAGGAGGAATCAGAAGAGGGCAGGGGAGGGGGAGAAGGAAGGAGGGAAGAGGAGGAACAGGCGGATGAGGAAGACTGAGGCCTGCAAAGGGATGATGTCTTCCCAACAAACAGATGAAGGAAAGAGGAGAAGACCACGTTGGTCGCGACTATCTGTCCACCCGAGAGGAGGTTGGCAGGGCCACCTGAAGCTTTCACCATCATTTCAGATTTGGAGGAGGAGGGAGAGAGCAGACGCCAGGAGGAGGAGGAGGACGAGGAGGAAGAAGAGGAGGCGAAGGGCGAGCAGAAAGGCCAGAGGCCTCTTGGCCGTCTTAGGGTTTTTTTTGGCGGTCCTTTGGGCCTCTTGGGTGCCTCTGCGGGGGGGCATCTTCGGGGTTCTTGGGGGTCGGCTGGGGGCTTCTTGGACGCCTTCGAGGACTTCTCGGCACCATTTTGGAGGACGTCGATCAACGAGGCGGGCGTCCCTACTGAGCGCCGCCCTCCCTGGTACCCCCAGAAGTCGCCCCTTGGTGCCCTCTCGGGGCGCTCTTGGGCGCCCCTCGGTGGCCCTTTTGGGCGCCTCGTGGCACTCTTGGACAGTCTTGGGAGCCACCGTGAGGCTTCGGGAGCCGATCCGAAGAGACAGGGCGAGGAGGCCAGACTCGGTCGTCTTCCCAGGGCGGTTGAGCGAGGAGGGGGAGGGGGAGGAGGAGGAGGAGGAGGAGGAGGAGGAGGAGGAGGACGAGGAGGAGGAGGAGGAGGAGGAGGAGGGGAGGGGGAGGAGGAGGAGGGGGGAGGGAGGGGGAGGGGAGGGGGAGGGGAGGGAGGAGACTGAGGAGGAGGAGGAGGAGGAGGAGGAGGAAGAGAAGGAGGTGGAGGAGGAGGAGGAGGAGGAGAAGGAAGAGAATGAGGAGGAGGAGGAGGAGGAGGAGGAGGAGGAGGAGGAGGGGGAATAGGAGGAGGAGGAGGAGGAGGAGGAGGAGGAGGAGGAGGAGGTTGGAGCCACCAGGCGGCCTCTTGGATGCATCTTATACGCCACGTTGAGCAAGCTCTGACAACACGACACCATCGTGGACGCCATCTGAAAGCATCAGAGGCCTGCTTACGGCCCGCATGGGCCAACCGCCTTCAAAGATGCGCCCATGAAGCCAACCATCGTTCAACATCCGTGTGCGTCTTCAATGTTGTTGTCGATCAACGAGGGGGGGTTCCCAATTAGCGTCGCCCCTCTGGAGCTCCCAACATCGCCGCTTGGGGCCCTCTTGGAGCGCTTTTGGGGTGCTCTTGGGCAATATTGCGGCCGTCTTTGGGCCATCCTCCTGGGGCCACCTTGAGGCCTCGGGATTCCATCGGAAGAGAAAATACGAGAAGACTAAATTCATCGATTTGACAACGGTTGTTGCACGATGTTGGCCTTTTGGGAGCGTCTTGGGGATCCCCTAGCCCACTTGGACCCATCTTGGACTGGTATTGGGGTTTCTTCGAGCATGTGGGAAGCCATCCTGAGCGACCTTGCACTGTCTTGGGCTACATTGGATGCCATCTTGGGCTCTCGGACGCCCACTTGGAGCCATCTGGAGCCCAGACTGCCCTCTGACACCTCGCGAAGCGCCCTGTCCAGGTCCAGAGAGATAGGGGGTAGGTAGGGGGGGGGGGGGGGGAAATCCCCTCCCAGAAGGGAAAGAAGGGGGTCAGAAGAGGAAACGATCTAAACCAGTCGCGCCCTCAGGGGCTGGTGGGATTTGGGGCGTCGTGGTCCTTACCCCCCCTTGGGCACCCCATTGGCTTCGACACCCCTTTCGAGAGGCCGTCGATACCACGGGGTCTCCCCTGGGGGCACGGGACAGCTCCCCCAGGTGTGGCTGCCCGGCGTAGACCGCAAGCAGTGGGCACTTGCACCCTCGATGTCGATTCCCCCGGCACCCGAAGGTGAGAAAAGCCCTTGGCGCAAGCTCCGTCTCAGGGAACCAAACTTCCAGAGGTCCGCGCGGAGTTCTTGGGTGTCGAAGGGGCCTTCTCCGAAGGGCCTGGGAGCTCCCAGGAAAGCCTCCTGGAAGCCTGGAGGGCTTCTGCAAGGAGGCCCCTCCCTCCCTTCCTGAGAGGCCTCCCGCCACCGTCTCAGCTATGGCCGCCACAGGAAGGCCGCGGCCGTGAAGGCCGAGGACTACGACGCCGCCATCGCGCTGAGGGAGCAGGAGCGGGTCGGTCGACTGGGGGGGGAGGGAGGGCATGGGAGGTGTGGTCAGGGTCTTTCGTGGGCCCTGGAAACGACAGGGCCGTCTCTTACCGGTGCTGTGTCGCTGTTCCTTGTCGGTCATGACGCCGTCTGTTTTTACTGGTTCCGTCGCCAGTTTCTTTCACCGGCTTCGGCTCCAATCCCGGAGCCATTCTTGTCTGTGTTGTTTCTGGTCGCCGCTTCCATGCTCAAGAGGCAGGCACTTTTTCGGGAACGGTGAAGAGCGGCCCTGCCGCTTCGGGGGCCCACGGAGGTCGGGGAGGGCTTGTTAGTTATACAACGGCTAGGGGCCTCCCAGATGGGGCCCGAGCAGACGGGGTCGCCGGATCGCGCCGCGCAGGCCCCCCAGATTCGGGTTGACCCAAACAGGGGGTCCAGCGACAACGGGGTGGTGCAGTAGATTTGGTAACATAGATTTGCGGGGTTGCACCGCATTTGGGGCGTCCAATACATTCCGGGGCGCACATGTGTACTACTGCCGGATCTCCGCGCCAATGTGATACAGCTCTCTGGCGCCCAGGATCCGCCGTAGGGGGACACGCCCGACCTAACTCAAGGCGCCATACCACTGCCGCACATCTATTGCACCACCCCCTTTCAGGTATCGGGGGAGCGTAAGGCCCGGGTTTGCCGGGACTCGGGTTCGCCATCGTTTTTTGACGACCGCGACTCGGATTTTGACGAGGAGGAGTTTCGTGGGATGTCTGCAGCGGGAGGCCTCGTCAAAACGCAGGCTCGGCCTCGTCATTTTTTTGACGACCTCGTCGGGGATTTCCGAGTCCCCCGTACCCGGGTCTTACGTCTCCCCGAAGGTAGACTCCCCTTTGGGCCACCCAAACAGACAGGGTCCGAGCATGTGGGGCCAGGGGATCGCGCCGCATCGCCGATGCATCGGCGATGCGGCTCGATGTGGGAGCCCGAGTTCTTCCACGCCGACGGCGCCAACGTGTCGCCGATGCACCGCCGATGCGCCAGTGATGCATCGGCGATGCATCGGCGATGTGGCGCGAGATCCTCTGGCCCCATCTGCTCGCACCCCGTCGGGGAGGCACTGCTGCAGCTCGCGCGCAGCTCCCGGCGCCGCGCCGCCCGCGAGTCCGCGCCGCGTCCGCGCGCCGCCCGGGCGCCCGCGCTGGGGTGCGAGGTCTGCCGCGCCTGCGGCTGTCTGCGGCCCCGCTCGCGGGGCGCCCGTGTCTGAGGCTAGGCCTCCCCTCGGCCTCGTTCGGAGGCTCCGCCGCTGCCTCCCTCCTCCTTCTCTGCCCAATCCAGGCTTCGCGCGGCCCGCTCAGCTTCGGCCGGGAGAGGTGCGCTCTCGACCCGCGGATATCAAAAAAATGTTCTGCGGCCCCGCCGCGGGGCGCTGTCCTCGATACCCAGACCTCCTCGAGCCGCTCGAAGAGCACGAGGGGCGGCGTCTTGCTATGTTCGACCTTCTTGGGGTCTGGGCCTCGGGGCCGTTTGAGAGAGCGACGAGCCCTCCTCGAGCCGCTTGAAGAGCACGAGGGGCGGCATCTTGCTATGTTCGACCCTCTTGGGGTCTGGGCCTCGGGGCCGTTCGAGAGCGCGGCCCGGGAGGAGCGAGACAGAAACGTCCCAGGGAATGGGTCGGGCCCTTCGCCCTCTCTCCCCTCCCTCCTCCCTCGCTCCCTTTTCCCTTTCCCTCCTGCCTCTCCCCTCCTCCCTCTCTCCCCCTTGTCTCCCCCTTCCACCTACTTGGGGCGCCGGACGCGGCCCTGGCAGCTTTTTTTACCGCGCGCCCTGCCCACGCATCCATCATGGAGGCACGGCGTTCGTATCGTAATGTATCGTGGAATTGGTCGAGACCTCCGGAGGTCGACGTGGGGGGTCGCGGTGCATGGGCGCCTCCAGCGCCGTCAGGTGCCAAGAGAGCCAGTTGATCGCTGATTCTCGAAGGGGACGAGCGCCCGGGGGTGGGCGCAATACATGTATCGCCCGGGCATGGGCGCAATACCTGTATCGGCAGCGAGCGACCGGGGGAAGTGAAAGGGGGCATGCCTTCTCAGAAGGCGGCGGAGCTTCTCGGAAGCCCCCGCGCCTTCCGAAAAGTCGTTTGCGCCTTCGGGGAAGGCGTCGAACGCGCCCCAGAAGGCCGGAGGCCGCCCGAGCCCTGCGAGAAGGCCCGCCCCCTCGCAAACCCCCGCGTCGGGCTCGCCGTCAGTCGGTGCATGGGCGCCCCCCGCGCCGTGAGGCGCCAAGAGATACAGCTACGGGCTGATTCTCGGAGGGGGAAATTACACGCCGGTCGTTGAAAGCAGGTATTTTTGGCTTCCCAGATCCCTATCGGGGGCGGACAGAACCCCCAATAGTGACAAGTCGATTGGTGAATTGTCCGTTTTCAGGTCTCGAGAGGGCGCCGCGGCCGTTATTTTCCAGGCTTGCGCCCGCCAGGTTTGGGTCTCAGGTCGTTTTCACTAAACCACGTTTTACTAAAGCGAGGTCTGTCCATCCCCGATTCTCGGAGGGGAAAATTACACGCCGGTCGTTGAAAGCAGGTATTTTTGGCTTCCCAGATCCCTATCCACTTCAAGCGCCTTCCTACTTCAAGGATCGGCACGCTTTTGCCGTGTTTTGCAATTCTTCACGTTTCGCGTATCCCCACCAGCCCATCCCCAAACAGCAACTCCAGCGAAGCATGCCGACAGTCGTGTTTTTGTCAGGCGTATTTCTGCCTGCTCTCGCATATATATATATATATATATACCCTGTTCCTGTGTCCTCCTGCCGCCTTGTACATCCACCTAGTGGGGGGAGCGGGAGGAGGACGAGTCCGAGGAGGAGGAGGGAGAGAAGGTGTTGGGAGGGAAGACAGAGGGCGGTCGTCGTCGTTTCACACACGTGAACGAGTCAGACGACTCAAATGACGGCGACGCCTCAGACGATGACGGCTACGACCACGACGACGACGACGACGACGACGACGATTACGATGACAACGACGACGTCGGCGACGACGATGCAGGCGACGACGACGACGACGATCCAGCTTTCTCCCCCGACCAGTTGTGCAGTGAGCGTAACTCGGCACGGATGGGCAGGTCTCCCTCTGAACGCATAGTTCGGAGAGCGGCAGTGAACTTAGCTCCGCCCATCCAGCAACCTGCCCGACCAGTTGTGCAGTGAGATCTAGAGACCGCCAGCGGGCTACACCACACGACACCACAGCACACCACACCACGCCACGCCACGCCACGCCACTCAACCCATACCAGCACGATCGGTAAACGCGACAGGAACTAGAAAAGGAACCAAGAAGCAGCAAAGGCGAGATCGGAGGAATCAGCAAAGGAGAGATTTCAGGAACCACACCGCACTGCACCGCACTAGACCACCCCGCACCAACACCACACCGCACCGCACCGCACCGCACCGCACCACACTAGACACCACTGCTCACCACTACAAACCTCTACACACGACACCACACAACATCAGACGACGACACTTCAGCCCTAGAGGCCCCCAGGGCTCGCCACGAGGTCACCAAAGCTCTCAGGAGATGCCCAAGTCTATATTTCCTCCAGCGTTGTCGTCGCTGTTGCCATTCTGGTTCACAGTGTTGCAGTGTGGCTGTGAGCTTAGCTCCGCCTACCAGCAATCGCTTCCGTCTACCAGCAATCGCTTCCGTAGTCATGGAGAAGCGCCCGTGCGCTCTGGTAACCTTGCTAGCCACGGGGGCTCCTTGGAGCGAGCAGCGCGAGGGCACGTCCTTCGACGAGTTCATGCGGGACACGTTTGGAGCATCGATCGATGGTGGCGGTCCGTCGCCAAGCCAAGATTTGGAATTTAGCTGCGCGCATCCGTCTCGGAACGGGTCGAATAGCTTGCTGAAAAGGTCCTGCCGCATGCCGGTTTCCAGATGCGCGAGAGACTCCGCGCGTCATTATTGCAGTGCGTGGCGCATGGTTACCGTCTGGCGAGGCTGACGTCATCCACAGTACGTTGCCCGGCAAGTCAGTCTTGAAGTTTTGGGTGGCTGTGCGCGCCGATGAGGAGGTGGTCATTGCCTCTCCTTTTGGCAGCGACCGGTCGTCGCCGTACCGGCGTCGCCAAGCAGACATCGCGGATCGCCTGCCGCCAGAGCTACTCGGGCGAATAAAACGGAACGCCATGCAAGCAATATAGACTACGCGGAGCAGGCCATCGCGAACAAGAAAGGTCAAAGTTCTAAGAGGCAGAGGGGGGATGGCAGCGGTGAGCTGAACTGCATATGGAAACTCGTCGCTCAGTTGGGCACGAAGGAGCTGCCTCCTCCGGAGCGCCGCAGCACTGCCTGGAAAGCTTGCGGTGACACGGCGTTTGCGCCGGCGGATATCGTGGCTCGGGGGTGCAGTTGCGGCCGCCTGGAGAAGTTCGCCGTGCACATGTCCGTCGACTGCCGCGGCTTAGGGCCCAGCAGCGCGGCTCGCAAGACCACGTTCAACGTAGAGGCAGAGGTCGCGCCAGCGCTGCTGCATGCGGCGAAGGGCATGCTGCTGTGCGAACTGCGGGCGGGGTCTGTTCGCAACGAGGATGTGGCGCGTCTGAAGGTTCACGAGAACAACCTCGGTTGTGCTTCCATCGTGTGCAACATGCACACGTTCACTGACAGGGGTGCCCGTTGGCGCGTTGACTCCGACGGCGACTTCGCAACCGACAAGCGCCGCATGCTGTGGATGATAAGTACGCGCGTACTGTCGAACATAGGCATCCAGGGCAATGCGCTTAGCGCAGCCCATCGAGATATTCGCACTGCTAGACCGCGCGTTAGCCCAGATAGCCTCGAAGCGGCGTACCAGAGCGGAACGCTCCATGTCGTAACGGCCGCGCCGAGGAAAGATTACGCTACTCGCATCACTCTGGAGCCAGAGGTGCACGCAGATGGAGGGCATCTCGGCGTTATCCTTGAATGGGTTGGCAA